CTGTCCTGTTGTTCACTTTCATGATGCCACCTCATTTTACAGCTTCAACTTTTAAGCTGTTGGGAACACTGCCATGAAAAGGTTCAGCAAGCAAAGGAAAGGAGAGTGACTGCATTTTTCCAGACTGAGCCCCATCTTCATGTTTAAGTGGCAGGGTTCTCAAGAGCAGTAATTACAGAAATTGGAAATGATTGCTTAGAGTTGCATGACATTGGCAATGCAAATCAAGTCTTGACTTCAGAACTGAAAAGTAAGTTCCGAAGCTCACTGGGCATGGAGGTGTGAAGTCGAGTTCTCCAAATGTTTGCTTCTGTCTCAAAACCTTGAGTAGATGTAGGGCTATTGGTAGATCTTACTCAGTTATTGCTTCCTACTCCCAGACAGAAAATTCAGTCTTTATCCTAGGAAGCTGTTTCCCTAAGGTTGTGTTAAATGTTAGCTGCAAGGGGAAGGAGTCAGGCTGCTGTTCCTCAGCAGTGCACTGCACATGGGGGCTGAGGTGCTCCACTCTACAGTGAGCGAGGACCGGCACAAGTATGTTCAGTGGTCAGCAGGCATTAACAGCACCGCATCCCTGCACGCAGTGCAGGGGTTTTGTTCTGTTCAAATGTGTTAAGGGTAAAGTGTCTATTTATCAGTAATTTTTGTTAATGAACTTAATATTAGCCATCTAACAAGTGGCTATTGGGAAGGATATGACTGTCCATGACTCCTGCATGCCAGTGTTGTTTTCTGAAGCCCTGTGTGACTCTACTGATCACAGGACTGGAATTCAGCTTTTCTCAACCAGTTGCTGAGGATGTGAGGGTAAGAGAATTACCTCATCTTCAGCACTGCTGCATTAAACCTACCAGATATTAGTAACAGTACCTTTGAGATTAGTATAATTTCTAGCTGGTTTTTAGATGGGTCATTGGTTCATATAATTAGGGTTCCAAAAATGGTTTTTTCTGGAAGCGTGCTCTTTCAATGGCACAAATACGCTCACAACTTCTTTTTTGTAATAATTCTTGCAAGAAACACGCTCAGGTGCTGTGCTTTGCCTGCTGTTTGAGAGAGAACTACAGCCACAGAAGTCCAGTATGTTACTTCTGTGCTCCAATCCACAACTCTGCGAGTAGAAACTCAGCTTTCGTTTCTTTGTGGGACCCCTGAGAAATGGTAGGTGCATAATCCTTTCCAGGCAGTGGGAAGTTACTCTAGGAAGGTGCCTGTGCATTGTGGTCTGATGGCCATGCTAGGGGAAAGATGCTGTGATGAGGCTGTAAGATCTGCCCCTGCTTGGCAGGACGATGACACAAATGCAGCTCGTGTGCCCACAGCCTTCTACAGAGAGGGCGTCTCGCCCATTCCCACAAGCAGCCGCTTCCAGTCGGCGGGATGTTTTTTGGGACTGTTGGAAACCCTTACAGAAGTCTAAGGGCCATTGCATCCCTGGGGTTAATGGTCTTTCGTTATGCGTTGAGGCTGTTATTGTTTGTGTGAACACTGTGCTCCCAGACACGTGCCAGTTCTTTACGTAGCTGCTTGGTTTTGTGTCAAGACCCCGCAGAAGGTGCTTTTCAACCGAAACACACAGGTAATCTGTATCTGCATATGGTGAGCGTGTGTAATGTAATATAGTAAGAAAAAAATACGGAGTCTGCTTTAATTTCACTGTTCACCTTTTCTCCCCTAACTTGGAAGAAGTACTGTCTACATTTCTAATACATTTTCCAATGCTGATTTTTCCCATCAGGCAGAGTTACTTCCCACTCTAATAATGTATAAATTAATCCATGCAAGTACAAAACTAGGTATTATATTGCAGGAAGGTTAAATCTTGGGACACTGAGCCATGAGAGTTTTAATATGAAATTAAGTAATAAAGAAATATCATATTGTAATTTTATCCCAGAGGAGCTGACTTTGAAAGCTTAATTCTGGTGGATTTAAATAAAATTTTTACCGTTATTTTTAAATGTGATTTAAATGTAATATATCACGTGGCACATCTTTACAATGCCTGATCTCCGTGATCTTATGAGATTTTAACAGGCAGAAAATGCTGCTGAGCTCCAGCTGTAAAGCTGCCATCGTATTTTGAAATGTGCCGCTCTTCTCCAGAGCTATAGGACTTCTCTCTGAAGCTGTATCATGTATTTATTTGTATTCAGGATCTGTTAGTCACTTCTGTTGGGGTGTGGTGCCCAATATCCAGTTGAAATGTAATTTTTGATGCATGTTTAAGAAAAAAACAACCACCATGAGACAGTTTAAATCAGAAAGAATCCATCCAAATTTAAAGGTGGGGTTCTGATGTTAAATAGCTAAGAAATGCGAAGAACTTACATATTTGTCCTATTGCCCAAAAAATAACCTTGCTTATACCTAAGAGGGGTAAACTCAGCGTGAATTAAAAGTGACAGACTTCAGGAAGGAATTGGTCCTCTCCATGCATGCTCCCATCTCTATTTCCAGTCCTCTGGAGCAGTGTAGGTGTTTGCTGGGGTCTGAAGGACCTCAGCACATTTTGGGATGGCTTCAGCACCATTTAGAACACCACCGAAGGAATGTATTTCCTTTTTTTGTAGAAGGTGTGTATGGTGCTTGGCACTTCCTATAAATGAGGATTTACCTCTCTCTGAAGTGAAATTTAAAACTACTGAGGAGCTCATGAAAACTGCTCTCATTTGTCCAAAATCCCACCCTCTTAAGGCTAAGAAGATGAACCAACCCATGGTTGGGCTGATGGCAGGGCTGGCATGGCCCTGGTGATTTCCTGGCAGAATTTGCTGCCTGTCCTGGCTGTTCTTCCTGCTCTGTGCAGCCTCGTAACACCCACAGGGCTCCCAGTTGCTCCCCAGTTTGGTTTTAGCCAGCACCTTGCAGGCCCAGAAGCACGCTCAACCTCCAGCTCTGCCACGAGTCTGCTGCTCCTGTCCTTCCTCAGGTTGTGCGAGGGGTTTTGGAAGAGAGCAAAGCCACAAGAGCCTCCTGGCAGTAGAGGACCAAGTGTCAACAGCAGTCATCACGTCAACAAAAGTCAAGTGAAAAGACCTTGTCCCAGATTTAATGAATTTATCTGCTTGGGTTTTTTCCTGGGTATCTCATAGGTATGCTACGGTTTCTGAGCCACTTCACGTGTTCTGTTAGTGGCTCAAGGTAATGTCTGTTGATTCAACCCCCTCCATCTCCATTTTCACTCCACGCAAATCACAAGTGATCCTATAGGAAATGTCAAATGTTGCAGCTCTATAGTGGAACAGAAATAATGGGGTGACTTAAGCACAGGTAATGATTGGCAGCTCTCTGGACAAGACTGAGACTGTCTCAGTTTTTACTTTACTGCAGAATTCAGAGGCATGGCATGGTTTCCTTTTTTTTTTTTCATAAGACGTGCAAGGGTTTTATTCTGCAAGGAAATGCTTGAATGTGTTTGTGGGTACAGAGATGGCTGAGCTTAAAAATAACAGAAAAAGATTGAACAGTCTCAGCAAATAGCTGGATTAGCATTCAGCTCCCATAGATTTTGGTAGCTGAAGAGCTGTCCCTTTCTTTGTTTATCAATATTTTAGAAGTGTGAAAAGGTAGCCGAGATGTACAGTTTACTTAAATAGGAATATTTCTAGAAGTGAGACCTTGAGCATCAAATCCAAACATAAAGTGGATTTATTCTACAGTTTTCAGTATTTAAATGTAAAGAGTAGCTTGTAGCTACCATTTGTAAAATGTATCTAAGAGTGGAATAAATCTTATCACATATCATAAGAATGGCCAGAATTGCTTCCCTAAGGAAGATGGCTCATAATGAGTATTGTGAGTTTCCTCTATACTGTGAAATTGTTTCTTTAGAAAAATCTCTACATTAAATCTGTTGAAAAACTGTCACTTTCTTATGTAAAAGAATGCAGCAGCCTAATACAGCTAAATGTGTGACTAGTACAGCTAATGGATACATCTACAGCTAAGCTCCTGGTAGCACAACTTGTGTTTTCTTTCCCACCTCAAACAACCCCAAGTTTGTAATGTCTGGTGTAGGTAACTTCATGAAAAAGATTGCTTAACACGAGCAGATTAAAAAGCAATTTAACTGATGGCCACAAACAGAGCTTAGAGTTTGTCATGGCTACAAAGATTTTCTGTCAGGGTATAAAAGCAATTAATCAGTATGCAGAAGGTATTGCCTGCCCCATAGAGATGCTAATTTTGTGACACTTTGGAAACTCATGTTCTACATTTACTGTTCACACTAGATGGAAGCTAACCAGCCTTAGCTTGAGCTAATGAAATCAAAAGACTGCAAAAGCTCACTTTTTCTTATCCCCATGCAGTCTAATTTTGAGATCTTTAGTTTCTTTCTAGAAGTTGTTTGACAACCGCAGTGCTGACTGAATATCCTGCAATACAGTCGTCCTCAAGACTGGAAAGTTGTATTTATACAGAGCTGCTGTAGCCATCTACAGAAAATAAAGGGCCTATCAGTTCCCTACTCATTTTTGGAAAATTATAAAAAAAACCCAACCAACCCACAACCGATTATAGAAATTGTAGTATAACAGAACAAAGATCAAGTGTTTCAACATGTTTTCACTGGGGACTTTTATTTTGTGGGGTTTTGTTGTTTGTTTTTTTCCCCAAAAATCCTATTAAAAAAAATCTCTATGCATAGTTTACAGGTAGCAGACGTAATTAAATAGAATATTCAATTACAGATATGTTAACAGTAGCCATTTGAAAGTTCAGGTATTCTTCCATGCTTACTCTAAGTTAGGACCTAATACAGAAGCAGCTGTTCCTATCTTTTTTAAAAAGGCACTAAATAACACAGCAATTCCAACAGTCTGTAACCACAAAATGTCTCAAAAGGCAGAAAACCAGAAAAGCTGCTCTCATTTCACTTTTTCCATAGCCCTCTCTTTCAAAGGGATCTCTGCAGTGGTTTGAAAACCCCTGGGGAGCCTCGGGCACCTGGTTAACACTCGGCACCAGCAGCGCCCTCCCGTCGCCGTTGGACTCACCTAGGGCCGCGTCGCAGATGAGCTGCTGGGGGTGCGCGGGGGCACAGCTGCACGCCTCGGCCGCCTCCTCCCGCCGGTGGCTCAGGAGCAGCAGCACGGGGAACAAGAAGGTATTCAGAGCAGGAAGCATCTTGCCTTCAGCGCAGCCTGTTCGGGCAGCCAAGAGAAAATGCTTCCTTCCCGGCGGTTTCCGAGCTCAACTTCCGAAGAGCTCGCTGATTTCTGCCGCGGGCAGCTCAGCTTCAGCAGCCTGGGGTGATTCGGAAAAGCCCTCTAATGCTCGCTCCGAGCACACGCGTATTTGAACCAACTTCTCCTTCCCCTGACATGGGACCCTCTTATTTATGGCCCCGACACCAACTCCTAACTCCGCCTTCCTTTAAGGCAAAAGCGCAGCATTGGTGACAGTGACTGTGCCGGCGGAGAGGTTACCTCGGTAAGCGTTGCAGCGTTGCTGTTATGAGTCAGTAGAACTATTAATAATCAAAAGCCTGCACAAAAAACATCGCTTACAAGTCTCTGATGCTGTTTTTTATGATCTCCGGCAAAAGAAAGGTTTGCTCTTTTTCTAGTTTCCTTCCAGTTTGAATTTAAAACCCCGTTCTGCTACCTTCTCCCTTTCGGTCGTGTGAACAAAGCTGGCCTTTTTTGAAGCTCTGCGTTCATTTGCAGTCCCTGATCTTCCCCTGCGCTTCTGAGCGTTTTCCCGAGCTGCCGTCCCTGTTTGCAGGCTGGACACAACTTCAGGCAGGAAAAGGCAACGTTTCAATGCTCTGCCTGTGAGCTTCCAACAATTGGCGGATACAAGGAATAATTAATGAAAAATAAAAGCTGCTAAAAAAGGCATTTTTTAGTATTTCATCACAGATTTAATCTAAAATAACAAGGGAAAATAGACCAATGGTGGATGTTGGAGGCACGGCTCTTTCTCTGCATGCCTTATTAATGTAAGCCCCCATCACCACAGATTTGCATCTGCATTTTCTGGCTCACGTTATGCAGGGAACACAGACAGAAATACAAGAGTTTGGAAATCTTTTTCAACTTCAGCTCTGTTGTTGCTGGAGCAATCTGGCTGCATGTAACATACACACAGCCTTTTTTTATTAAGAAGTTGTTTGAAGAGGGAGCACCAGAAGGTTTGATTAGAGAGTAATAAAATAAATCTAGTGATTGCCATGCAGGACACAACTGCTTAAAGGATTGCATATTCTGTCGCTTCACAGTGACATTTAGGAAATGACAGCTCATTAACATAATTAGAACCATTTAGTTGCCGAAATTTATTTTCTTGAGGTGTTAGGTGTACACAAATTAGTTTGTTTTATTTATAAAGATGTGTACATGTTGCACAGCACCAGGTTGATTTTATTTTTAAGCAGTAATTATTTGTGCTGATTCTTCTTTTTTTTTTTCCTCCCATCCTTCACCCCCCAAAAAACTCCATCTGTAAAAAAACCCAATAGGGAGGGTGGGTAGCAACAGGACAAGGGGGAATGGTTTTAAACTGGAAGAGGGGAGATTTAGACTGGATATTAGAAAGAAATTCTTCCCTGTGAGGGTGGTGAGCACTGGCCCAGGTTGCCCAGGGAAGCTGTGGATGCCCCCTCCCTGGCAGTGCCCAAGGCCAGGTTGGATGGGGCTGTGAGCAGCCTGGGCTGGTGGAGGTGTCCCTACCCATAGGGGGTTGGACTGGGGGGGCTTTAAGGTCCCTTCCAACCCAAACCATTCTATGAGTCTATGAAATATTCAGAATTATTAGAATTTGGTCTCATTTTCAGATTTTAGATCCGCATCAAAACTGAGCTAGCAATGTTGTTGTACACTGTATCCTGATTTAGTTCAAACAGCCATACTTTGATTTTTACTTTTTCAGTCTGAAGTTTTGGCTTCAAATCATAAGGTTGGATCCAAGTCCAGGACTAACACCTGAAAATAATTTAGACCTGTTAACATCTCTGTTCTTACCTGGAGGAAACTTGCTTTTTTCAGGAAGCTTTTCATGTGAGTGAAAAGATAAAGATGTGAGGCTGAAACCTTACACAGGAAGTTCAAGCTACAAGAAGGCCACAAAAAAACCCCCAACAAAATCAAAAAGCACAACAACAACAAAAAAACCACCAAAACCCCAATTAAACCAGAGCCAAGCAGGTATTTTAACAGCCTCTGTGTAGGACTGTTGATTTTCAGGTCTCACTTAGGGCAGTAGGACTGGAAAGAGATGAAGGGATTTATTGAGAGCCATTGGTGGCTTTCCAAACAACATCACATGGCCACTGCTATAGATGATCTAAATAGTCCAATTTGATTACCATTTTGGTAAAATTCTAGTAATAAAGAAATACACTGGACATATATATAGTGTATACTGGTCTTCCCTAGCATGGAGCATGCAGGTCTACCTATTCGATGGTTAACTAAGGCACGTTTTGCCTAAGATTGTCCAGAATAGCACATCAAACTGCTATACTCTGCATGTCTTAAAGACCTTTGTATCTAGAGCAATCAAACTAATGGTGCAATCACACTAAAAATATTATGCTCATAACAAAATTTAAAAATATTTTTGTGAAAAGTTAAAAATTAATTCACAACTGTCTTGTAGACGTAGTTGAGAATTAAATATATTCAACTGAATGTTTGGAAGCGTAAACTAAAAACTAAATCTAATGTGGTAATTGTACAAATGCCATAGAAGCACATTTTAATGATGATCTTCCACAGCATTGCCTGCAGCTACCCTTGAAATAATTTTCAAGTCTTTCAGATGGCTATCTGTATATGGAATATTTAAATCGCTTAGAGAAACACGGCCACAAGAGAGTTTCTTACTCAAGAAATCCATTCCCCATAGGTGTCTCTAGACCCAGTCAGTGTTGGGAGGCATGGGTTGGGACTTGCTGTACGCAACAAGGCCTTTCAGTGGTGATGTGGATTTCAGTGAGACTCGTGGCTAGAGGGCTTCTCAACCCTAACGGGGCACTCTGCTCACCACAGGAGCAGGAGCAGCAGATCTGCACGCCGGTCAGTCCTGGGGTCTGTGGCCTTACTCAAAGCCAGGACTTGAACCTGGCTGTTCTGGTCCTGCGCCAGTCCAGCTCCTGAGCAGGTCTCTGGTGGGTGCAGCTCTCCTTTCTTCATGACAACATTGATAAAAGGCCAACAATTTTTAAAACCTCAGCAGAACTCTTATTTTCTTATTCTGTAATGGTAAGTTTTGTCAAATTACTATCAGAGTTTAGTCAAAGGCATAGTTACATAGTTACAGCATTTTTACTCTGTTATCAGAGGAGCCAAGTATTACCTGTGGCTTCTACTGATACCAGTACAGTGATTGAGTACCTGTTACCTCTGAATAGTATTAGCAAGCATTAGGTCTTTGTGTGAAACTGCATTGTTGTTTTTTATATTGCATATTGTTGGTATTTTTCATTGTATTAGGAAAATTACTCTTAGAGACTTCAAAAGAAACTCTTAAGCTCAGCACCCATTCTATATTACTGCTAGATCTTGACCTTGTAAAATACAAAGATGGTTCCCAAAAGACATAGATATACTCCTTGACTACCTTCTAAGCAAAATAATCTTGTATGTTAAATAACAGTAGAGAAATTATAGCCAACATTTTATAAATGTAAGCAGACTGAAGCAAAAGAAACACTTGGTCTTTTTTACTATTGGTATAAAAGGACTAACGGTACAGGGCTTCTCTCACTCCCCTGTATGTTGTGGTGCCAGTTTTCCTTTTGTTTGATAGGTAAGCCATGATACTATAGCAAATGATGCCATAATACTCATCAAACTAGTGCCTGCTCTTTGGTTATATTCTGATACAGTGAACGCTTGCTCATAAGAAACAGAAAAGGGCATTTATCACTGATTCCTTCAATTCATTATTGACACAGTAGGAAAAACACGTGGCACTTTCTCCTTTCTGTCTAGCTAAGCAAGTCTAACGTTGAACAACTCATTTCTGTTTTCTAGAAAGATGCAAGAAAATAAAGAGGGTAGGGGATAACCTGCTGTATTTGTTGGTGTGTCCAGTATAGAAACAAGGTGGGAAACCTGACTACAGTCAAATTTGTGATCAGCTTCATCTCTCCTCAATGGGAATTCTGATTTTGCACAGGACTCTTAATTCTGGAGGGGCTTTGTTGTGATCCTCATTAATTTTTACTGTGGAGCATAAGCATCTATCAGCATTATTCTGGTTGTTAATTACCATCATTGTTTCTGCTAACGGTCCCCAGAGACGTGTATATTAAAAACACAAGGTCTCCTTCTGCTGGATCCACACATGCAGAGTCCTGTGGAGTGAACTATGGCTTCCCTTGAGCTCCAGAGCAAACTCACACTGATTTTATGGTATTTATCTCTTCCCTGGGAGTTAGGGGGGCGAAAGGGGTTGAGTGAGGTGCACCACCCTTGGAGAGGCAGTGCTGCCAGGTCACCTCTGCTCCATCCTTCTGTTTTGCCCTTCCTCACTGTATCTGCTCTCTCCTCTTGCTGCCAGCCCTTTGCAGCTCTGCAGGATTCCCGCAGCAGCCCTGCCTTTGACTGGGCTGTACTGGTGTGCCATTGCCCCACACTGCTGTCTCTCCTCTGGGTCTGGCTCTTCCCAGGAGGCAGGCCTGTGTGTCCTGGTTGGAGACTCTGTAGAGCACTGAACAGAAAGGTTGTGGAGTCTCCTTCTCTGGAGACATCCAAACCCTGCCTGGACGTGTTCCTGTGTGACTGCTCTGGTGATCCTGGGTTGGACTGGGGTAGCTTTCGAGGTCTCGTCCAACCATAACCGTGCTATGATTCTGAGATGCCTGGGTACACCCCATGAGTATTTCTCTGGCGGGCTTGAGTTTGATACTTGGAGTCGTGTCAAAGAGCACTGAACCGTGTTGCATAGAGATTGTCCATACAGCTTTTTCAAAAGGTCTCTAATTATTATAGGATATGCAACAGACACCTCACTGGCCCTTCCAGCTGCCAAGTAGTTGGCATCTACACAGTGTCTTTTGGTTGGATGCCTGCTTCTGGCAATGTGCAGACTGTAATTGGTTATCTGTATTGATTTTATTCTCGTTCCATTGTGGCAAATGAGTCATAATTTAGAATGGTAGCAGGCAGCTTATGTAG